TGAGGACCACAGCACCCCCAGTATGAGCCGCAGCCGTTCTCAGCAACAACAGATGTGGAGCTTCTTGGAGGATGAAAACAGCCAAGGCATCAGGAGAGGCAGCATGAGGAGCTCCTCCAAAAGAACAGACAGATCCTCACAGATTCTCTCAGCTTCCAACAGCCTCTCTCAGCTCACAACAGCCTGTATTCTTCTTCTCCAGTTCTGCCTCTTATGCTGCTGGCAACAATCCTCAGGTGGGCCTCACAAACCTAGGACCACACTGACTCAGCTCAGCAGGGTGTTACAAGTTGACCACCAGTTGTTAATCCATGACAGCTCCTGTTAAGATAAAAATAATAGACTTGCCTAAACCTGAGTAGACTAGGGCATGCCTACACTTCCAGGATTTAGGAGGCTGAAGCAAGAGGATCCCCACAAGTGTCTTAGATACTTTTCTTGTTGCTGGGGCCAAATATCCAAAACTCAAAGTTAAAAGATGAAAGTATTATTTTGCTCAACTTTGCCTATGTTTCAGTCCATAATCTGTGGGCTCCAAGGAAGGGTGGCTTTGAAGAGGAGAGCAACTCCTAGCAGGTTAAACCCAGCAACAGGAGCAAGGAACAGAAGTGAGGGACAAGCCGCTATCTGTTGCCTTTTTTGCATGGAGGTTACCTGAGCTAGGGAGTGTGTGGTCCTCATATCCTTAATCCAGGAATGGACCCTGAATTGGCACAAACTCTAGATTCAGACACCTCGAAAAGTGCTCCCACAATGACATGAGACTTGCAGAGCCATCTAAACACAAACCTTAACAATGAGTTAATGCCAGGATGAACTACACAGAGAGACCTTCCCTCAAAACAATTAAACAAAAAGGTATAACATTTCATAGCCAGGTTGACTGTGAATGCGTCAAATCCAAGTGCACTGGGAAGCTTAGGCTCACGTATTCCAAATTCAAGGGGGAGCCCGGCCAATTAGTATGACCCTATTTCAAAGTAGAAAGGTAAGCAAACCTGAAGAGCTAGGTCAGTGATGCAGTATCCTAGGTTTGATCTGCAGTTCTGTGCTAACGTGGAAACAAACAAAAGACTTTGCTACAAATTCTTTTTCAGACCGGGTCTTTCTATACACTTCAGGCTGGCCTTGAAGTCACTATGTAGCTCAGCCTCATGTTGAACTCATGGCAATCCAACTCCCTAGGCCTCGCGCGTGTTGTGATAACAGGCTGCACTACCACCTCCAGCTTCTCTGCAAGTAAGTTCAGTGCCAAGTGCATGGAAAGCATCCATTTTCAAGTCTGCTTTGGTCACACACTGGCCAATTCTTTAACATCCCAGAAGACGTGTGTTATGAATTGGGACATATCATGTTTTATTTGTGTTATGTACACAGCACGTGTAATACACTGTAGAGACCCAGGGCCAGTGGTCCACTTCCCTCATCATCAACACACTCGCTGTACTGCTAAGAAGAGGAGAGGGCAGGGACACAGTGCACCAATGCAACACAGATTTCATGCAGGCAAGATCTCATCAGGATTGTGCAGAAAATCGGGCTCTAGCAGCCAGCAGGGCGGCAGATGGGAGCACAAGACTGGTTCTGCCTCTAGGGCAGTGAAGATTCCAAGCTGTGGTACAAGCCTGCCCCCTGCTGGTAAGTTAGGCAGGGTGAGAGGAATTTTAGTGAGCCAAATTTTATTTGCCTAGCAGTTTTCGAAGCTACTATTATGAAATGCTGTATATCTAGGAGTGCTGGTGCAGGCCCTTAATCCTAGCACTGGGGAGGCTGAGCCAGGAGGATTGCTGAGAGTTTGAGGCCAGCATAGAATATAAAGTGAATTCTCGGCCAGCCTGAACTCCATGACAACACAGTGACTTAGGAAAGAAAGAAGAAAAGAAAGAAAGAAGAAAGAAAGAAAGAAAGAAAGAAAGAAAGAAAGAAAGAAAGAAAGAAAGAAAGAAAGAAAGAAAGAAAGAAAAAGAAAAAGAAAGAAAGAAATGAAAAGAAGGAAAAAATGAAAGGAATGAAAAAACACAAAAGAAAGACATGTAAAGAGAGAAAGAAGTCGATTTCCTCTCATCATATATTGAAATTCTCTATAACTTTTGTGTTTTTTGTAGTTTTCCCCTTTTCTTTTTTAGACAGGGTTTCATTATGCAGTTCAGGCTGGCCTTGATCTTACTCTGTAGCCCAGGCTGGTCTCAAACTCTCAGAGATCATCCTGCCTCAGAATTCCGAGTGCTGGGATTACAGGTGGGCACCACCCAGCCTGGCGGTTCCTCTCTCTTTAAACTAAAAGTAACCAAAAAGAAAGAAAAACAAGTGTTCCAGGATGAATATTAGTGTTGTGACTTAAATAAATACCAAAGATATAAACTGCCTTTTTAAAATTACAGACATGTCAGTGCCTTGTGGCTCTCTCCTGCAATGGCAGCACCGTGGTAGCCTAAGGAAGGACAATTCCAATATCCTTCCAGCCTGCAGAACTCCACCCATTCCTGTCTCAAAATAAACATTTCACTGGGTGTGGTGGCTTACTCCAGGATTATGACAGCACACTGTGAGCTGAGCCAGGATGGTCAGAATTTGAGCACAAATTCAGGCATAAGCAAGACGCTGTCCCAAAACCAAAACATAAAGTTGCTTAGAATTTCAGTATTTGAGCATTAAAGGGGTCCATTCTAAGTAGTGCGAAGAAGGCAAGGGGAGAGGGAGGGAGGAAACAAGGAAGGAAGAAAGGAAGGAAGGAAGGAAGGAAGGAAGGAAGGAAGGAAGGAAGGAAGGAAGCAGGGAAGTAAAAAATAAGGAGAAGAAGGGATGAAAAAAGACTCTATAGCTGCAATCAATTCACAAATGCCTTCCCGTGTCAATCCATGCTCTTCCCACAGCTGCACCTCAGACACTGCCCTTCCTGCATCTGGGCTCCTGGGTGGAGTATTTCTTGTTCCTCAAAGGAACACTTAATTTCATGTGTACAGAGCTGGAGTCTGAACAGAAGGAACTGCTATGCTTTCGCTGGATCACAGCTATACTGGGGGCTTATTTGCTGCTCTTTCCTTTTTTTCATGATGAGGGTTTGCACCATGTACATTTGCATGCGCTGCCATTGCAGGTTTTTTCTATTTTTCATTTTGTGACACAATCTTTCCAATTGAGTGTCCCTTCTGTTGGTTCAGGCCTGAAATCAGAGCAGTCCAGAGGCTGAGGCAGCAGGATCCCGGGATTCACTGGGTGGAGAGGGTGGGAATCAGTTAGAGTTCTGAGTGCGCTGGGAAGGGAGGAGCAGGGAGGGTAGGGTGTGCATAACAGGGGTGATAAAAGAGGACAGAGTCTGAGGGAGAGGTGCTCAGTCCTGGAGCTTCCAGTCGCTGCTGCTCCTGCTGGGACTCCTGGAGCCCATCGCGCTCACGTGAATCTGCACCTGGTGAGTTCTTGAGAACACATCACTCCCTGAGAATGCCCCACCTCCCCAACCTCAGTTAGTGTCCATGGGGCACAGAGGTTCCAGATGGCACTTACGATCCTGTGACTTCTGTCTCTCCAGATAGACAGGCTTGGGATTTTGTGGCTATTTTCATTTTCTGATCAAAGGTCTTGCTATGTCACCCAGCTCGATTTCAACTCAGTACACATTTAGGGCTGGCCTTGAACTTTTAAGTAGACCAAGCTCATATTAAACTCGCTTGGGAGCCAGTCTCCCTAGTACTGGGAGTTCAGGCAGGAAGCATCCAGTCTGCCTTTCATCCAAGTCTTGCAGATAATCCTCACCCTGGGTGGCCTCCTCCTCCCTAAGTGGGCACATGACACAGCACAGCCCACTGCTCATGTTTTCGTTTGAAACTAATTCTCACAATAAACAACGAAGCATGGCTGGATACACAACCATGCAATCCCACCACTCTGTAGATCCCAGAGTTACATAATTTAATAAATGTTGCACTATTAAAATCAATTTGTAGAAGATGCACGTTGCTTCGGCAGCCTCTTGCAGACCTCAGGACTTTATGAAGTACAAGAACAAGAACACTGGAGATAGCTACACACTTTCAAAGCCACCTGTGCTGGTACAGGAAAGCTGGTCAAGCTGCAGAGATGGGAAAGAGTGCAGCCTCAAATCATCAGGCAGAGGAAATGAATAACACTCTCTCAGTGGTTATTAGCAACCTCCCATGAAAAACAGTTGCTGAGGACATTAGGAGTTTCCTCAAAATTCATAGGTTTCTGCAAACAAATATGTTATTTTCTAACAAAAAATTCAGGAATGCCAGAGCCCCTAAATTCTAAACTGTGACTTCCTGAGGTTATTGTATTTTTTTCCAAAGAGGAGCTTCACAGACCAAGAAAATCCTCAGCCAGTTGCTCACAACATGAAGTGTTCTTCATACTGTGTCTGTTTCCACTGCCTGGTAATGGACGAGCCAGGAAACCAAGGGAGAAGGACACACATCAGACCCGTCACTGCTCCTGCCAGCTCTGGTTTAGGAGGAGAGTCCGGGTTCTACAATTACTTGTAGATGAAATGAAAATTGTAATTTGTAGATGTAAATGAAAATTCATTGCTTATTTTTTCTTAGCCATCTTCATTGTGGGTACACATAAGTTAGAGACTGGGCCATAGGAGTATCCACATTCTTGGTTCTGTTTCCTTGGGTTTAGGATCAGAATGTTTTCCAAAATCTGGTGGGAGTCAGTATCAGATTTCTTGGCTCCCATTTCACAGATGGTCCAGAGTCTGGGTGCTGTGGTAGGAAATGTGTGTTTGGTCTTTCCCTGATTCATCCTGGAACCATCAGACATTCTTCCTGGGCTTATTAAAGGCAGAAGTAAGGCTGTGGGACCAGAAGCCAAAGTAGATGTGAGGCAGACTGGGGACTCTTCCCCGCTTTTCAGACTGGGGACTTTTTGGCTACACGTTGGTTTTCTCAGAGGAGAGAAGGGGTTTCTCAGCCTTGCCTGAAAGGAAGTCTCTCTCCGCAGTGTTTCCTCAGCACCCCTGGCCTTCCTGATTCACCAGGATGAGCACGAAGTCCCCACACCTACTACGGAACCTGGCAGTTCAGAGCTTGCTGAGGGACAAAGCCTTGGCCGTGGTGGCCCTGGAAGATTTGCCAGGGAAGCTCTTCCCAGCAGTGTTCAAGGAAGCCTTCACCAGGGGACATGGAGAAGTCCTCAAGGCCATGGTGCTGTCCTGGCCCTTTCCCTGCCTGCCTCTGCGAGCCCTGATGACCATGAGGAAAGCAGAGACTTTGGATAGTCTGGAGGACAATGGCCAGATGCTGGAAAGGATGTTCCATGCTGTGCTGGATGGGCTTGATGTGCTCCTGAGCCAGAAGGTTCACTCCAGGTGAGTGGACCCCAGGTATCCTGGAGGGAGGGCCCTGGATGTCAGGAAGGGCAGAAGGTGTCAGGGAGGGTGTGGGCCAAAGGGTCAAGCAGCGACTTATGATTGTTTTTGGCAGAGGATCACAGAAGTCTTGGGCATTGGTGGCCCAGCCGGGCTGGCACTGCCACATGGGGAGCTCAGCTGAGTGTGCAAGCTGCTGGGAAATGAAAGGAGTAAGAAGTTCCTGACTCCTCCCGCAGGCACCAGGAGTCAGGACCGGAATGACCCAAGGAGGAAAAGAGAATCAGAGAACTGCAGCATACAAAGAGTAGCAGAGATAGCCACGGACCTCAGAGATGAGGAAAGCACAGGAAGAAACTGGGTCCTGGCCAAAATTCTCAGACTCTTTTCTGCTTCACCCACAGGAGGTTGAAGCTGAAAGTGCTAGATATGCCGGTCGAGCGCCAGAACTTCTGGAGAGTCTGGGCTGGAAACATATTCAAAGTCTGCTCCAACGAAGCCATGAAGAGGAGAAAAACAGAGGGGCCTGGATCAAGAGGAGGAAAAAAAAAGCGCTTCAAGGTCATGATACATCTGCATCTCAGTCAGGGACATCTGTGTCCAGAGGAAAGCTACCTCCTCAGGTGGGTGCATGCCAGGGAAGATCTGGTGCAGCTGGAGTGTAAGAATCTGTGTATTACAACCATGTGCTTTCCAACGAGAAAAGAGTTCCTGGCAGTGCTCACACTGGATTCTGTGCAGGAGGTGCGTGTGGGTCACTGCGGGACACTCTTTACCTTGGCTTAATTTGCCCTTTTCCTGGGCCAGATGCAAAACCTTCACAAACGAATTCTCTCTGAAGTCTCTGTGCCGGCCATGGTTTCCCGAGAGAAGAGAGAGGAGTTGTTCGCCCAAATCATCTCGCACCTTATGAACCTTCATTGCCTGCAAGAGATTTATGTGGACTCTGTGGATTTACTGGAAGGTTACCTGGGCCGGTTACTCAGGTAAGATATGCAGCTCTCTCTCCACTCACAACAGCCTTTCTCTGTTCTAGAAAGACTACTGACCATGGACAGTGTGCCGCAAGAGATGTGTCAGGGATCAAACACTAGAGCATCAACACAGGGGTTTTGCAATCCTCACTCCCACAACATGGAAGCCCTTAGTCTTACTGAAGGAACCAGACACGACAGGGCCACCATGCTAGGATGCCAGGAGGTGGGGTCAGAGTGAGGGAGTGCGGGACTGTGACTTCTGCCTTAGGAATTCCACCTAGGGGAAGGTGCTGAGAAACACCAAGGCCTCTCTGATCCCCCAGCAGTCCCCATGCGAAGCCTCAGCCGTAGGACGTGCTGATGAACAAATGGAGGTGCAGGGGTCTGAGGTTGAGGGCAGGGAACACAGGGGCAGGACAGGGAACAGGGACACAAACTGCTGGCAGCATCTTTAAGGAGCCTGGTACCTGTGGCCACATCTTGCCTGCTGTTTGCTCCCTGCCTGGCTCCTGCTGCCCTCATCAGGAAAGAGCTGTGGTTTCTGCTTGGGAGTGAGGAAAGAGCACTGTGGAGATCCAGGATTCACTCCAGCAGGTGATGGGAAACTCACACTCAGACTAGGTTGACTCATGTGATACTTGCTACACTGTCTTGTTCTTCCCACCATACCCTACTTTTCCCCACCAAATGCAGATCTAACTGCCTGTTCTCTCTGCAGGTGCCTCCCATCCCCGCTGGAGACTTTCTCAATAACTCACTGCCAGCTCTTACATTCTGACTGGATCCAGCTGCCCCAGGCTGAGCAGACCAGACAGCTAAAAGTCTTGCAAATGCGTTGTATCCAGCTGACTGATTTTAGCCCTGAGTCTTTCCAAATTCTGCTCAAGAACGTTGCCTCCACCCTGACCACCCTGCACTTGGAAAACTGTGGGATTACAGAGGCGCAGGTCTGTGCCTTTCTGCCTTCCCTGAGCTGCTGCTCCCAGCTCACTACCTTCTGCTTTGCGAGGAATTTCATGTCCATAGACACCATGAAGAAGCTGCTGGGCCACACCACCAGGCTGAGCAACTTAACCCTGGAGCTGTACTCATCTCCTTCAGAGGTTTGGGTTTCCAGGCATGGGATCAACCAGCAGCTGTGAAACGAGCTACATGAAGAGCTGATGAGGATCGTGAAGCCCCTAAACCATCCCAGGACAGTGTACTTCTGTACTTTTGACTGTGAACTCCATTGCAGCCGGAAGTCCATAACAAGCACCCCGCTCCATGCCGGGCCTGCATCCCCATCTAGTCGATCATCCATATCATACGTTTCCTTCTGGGACCCGGGAACACAGAGCTCCTCTTGCAGTGTGAGTGAGAGAAGCACAGGTAGGCCAGCAGGCAGCAACCTTGGAGAATCACTGACTTGAGAGAAGTCACCTTTGTGGACTGAGGAACTAGACAGGACCACATCTAAGAATTTGACATGTTTGATGTCAAGTCAGGCTTGAGATCAATGTGTGCAGGAATGTAAACGAATCATCAGAAATAAAGAGATTTGCATGTGAAGCATCTGGTTACCTCCGTGCTCATCTGTCCTGGTTTCCAGCTCAGAGCTCATGAATCTGCAGTCACGGGAGAAAAGGCCCTGAGTTGTCTTGTCAATGCGCACTGGCCTCGGAGCGCCTCCAGCAAATAGAGATATTCCATGTTGTTCATCCCCTCCCATCTTTGGTTTTCTCCAGCCACAGTTTCCCTCCTTGCTTCCTGGTATTTCTTCCCCTTCCTAACATACCCTTGTCCCCAGGACTCATCGTACAGCCTGCCTATGGAGCTGAAGCCACAGATATTTCATTTGAGACAAATTCTGTCTGTACGACTAGGCTGGGCTTGCACCTTTGGTCTCTGCCCTGATGCTCCAGAATGCCCCATAACAGTTGTGGACATTCATGCCCAGCTTTTCCCCCTCACTTCTGTGCGTCTCTTTTGGATTAATTTAAGGTTGCACACCTGAAATTTACTGCACAGAGCAACTCTCTCATTTAGGGTTCCTTTGGGAAGAGCAGTAGCTTTGATGAGGAGCCTGCCTGCTCTGGGAGCCACTGAGGATCCCACAGTGTGAGAAACAAATGGGAAGATTCCCAGGAAAGTGAGTCCATGTCAGCTGCCGAGACAGAAAACTTTTGGTGGCAGGACCCTGGGCCACAAGGGCAACGGTGAGGCCTGGAAAAGTCTCAGAGTAATGGAAAATCTGCTTCCAGCGAACCGTTCATGTCAACCTGACGGCAACTTCCAGGACACTGGTCATCAGAGGAGCTTGGAGAGTTAATTTTTGGTCCTTGGTTCTGCTGAAAAAGTCCCTTACTGCCCAGGGGAATGGTGCTGCCCTGGGGCTGCAGTGACACCAGGACACATGTACACAAAGAAAAACAAAGCAAGGGACACATATGCAACTGGGAGCAAAGGCTGACTGCTTGACCACCAGGGCCACAACACACTGGAGAAATCAAAACAAAAACCCCCTGGGTCTTTTCCAGTTAGTTCACTTCAGTTCCTCAACTGCTTATTACTCAACCTGGGGTTTTCTCAGCCTCATATACATCTCTTTCAGACTGAAACCCTGCCCATTGCCTGTGTCCACCATGCTGGGAAATGTCCCCTGTGGACAGAACCCTGACAGTAAAGGCTAATGCCATGGGTCAGATCCACTAGGATGGCCGGGTCTTGGGGTTGAACCCATGATTCCTCCTGTCCAACCTCCCCAAGGAGACTTGGAAATGTGTGACCCCCTCATCTGCCCATAGGAGCTGTGCTCTCAGCTCTGCAGCAGCTCCTCTCTGAGATTTCACCTTCTCAAGCCAGCTCACTCTGCTGATCCCATTGGAAACACCTCTTTTCTCTTGTGGCACAAAAGAATAAGTGTCCCTCCCTGCCCTCATGGATAGGGTTGAGTTTTAACAGTTATCATTGAACTCTTCATGTTGAGCCCGATATGGGACAGGGCCATTACACAGCTGTGTACTGGCCACCCTTATCCATGCCTAATGTCACTTCTCCAACTTTTCTCTCCAGAGAGACCTGGAACCAGCTACCTGGTGCTCTGCTAAGCTGTGGGAGCTGTAGTCTTCATAATCTGGGAAATCACACAGGAGTATCCCTATCAATGTAGCATTAGAGACTCCAGGTGTAAGTTTCCTAACTAGGTGCCCTACTTTCATAATCTAAATGGACCCTCCAACCTGCTGCTCTGAGAGGTGTGGCATTTGGGAGTGAGTGCACCTGTGGGCATGATACTGCTGACTGGATTCGTCCACTGAGTTTATAGCTTAACGTGAGGTTGGGAGGCAAAGCCTGGTCAAAGGAGGTGGGTCGCTGGGGTTGTGGGCTAGAAGAATCTGTGTCCCTCCCTCCCCTGTTAACAAGTCTCTGCTTCCCACAACCAGGTCATGAGCTGTTTTTCCTCTGCCATCTACCCCTGTCATGCCAGCCAGTGCAATTACAAAATGAAATAAACCTATCCTCTTTGAAATTGTGAGTGTTGGCTATTTCTTACCAGTGA